TTCGTTTTTTGACTGAAACTTTATTTAGAGATGTGTGGAAAATCCAAATACACTCACCTCTTAGTTTATGAAGGCAATTTATTTCTTGAAAAACTGTTCATAAGGGAAAAATTAAATTCTCATTTCAGGTAAAATCTCCTGCCTCATTCCCGAGGTCTACAAAATACACACAATAGTTTTATCGAAACAAAATAGCAAAAAATCTTCGTTTATGATAATCAGCCTATTTTTGTTAGGGCAGTAGTTCGATAAAAATGTGAAAGAATAAAACTCTAGAGAGAACAGCCTCTCAACAGGGTTGTACAAAGAGAAATGGAATGCTCCAGAACATGTTTAATTTGCCAAATTCCATCATGGATCAAGGCAGCTTCATCAGCATTACAACTATTGCCATTCATCGTAGTGTCTCTTCCTGGCTTACTAACACAACTTACAGAACTAGCCTGGTTTTCCTTTCCTAACATCCCAGTGCTTATCATACCTAATGTCTAGGACCTGATGAGAGCAAGCTAGAGGGTGGTACTGGTGCATGTTCCTTAAGACACCTTGAGAGAAGGAATGTAGCCTCTACAAGTCTGAGTGCTTTCAAGAGTAAGAATGCTGGCCAAGTTACAAATGGCTCTTCCAGTCACAAAACTGCTGATAAGAACTTTTCTGTAAGGGCTTGCTGGATGGAATGACACCCCAGAGCAACATTTGATCTTTTATGGTCAAGGATGCCTCTTTGACATTTTTCCTTGAATGTCAATAACTGTTAAGAACTGGAAAATCCTGTGTCAAAGGCTGCTTTTATTAATCTGAGAACCCTTTTTTAAGAAAGGCATAGAAAAAGCAATCAATAAAAAATAAAGATGTACAGTAAGTGGTATATGAAATGTTTTGCCAGTTTTGAATGTGTGCTGTATATGTATCACCAATTATAGACAAATAAGAAAAAGTCACATTCTTCTTATATGAATATATTCTTCATATTCATATTCTTTCAGCACATCATGGCATGACCTAAGCAAGTAAATTCATTTTACAAGTGAAGAAAGCTGTATCTGAATGTATTGCAGTCTGTGCATTGGAACATGCAGGATGGAAAGTCATGAACTTGAAATGTAACTTGTGATCTGACAAACCGGATTACTTCATGTGAAAAGGCTATTTATTTTATACTCCAATCTCCTTGTTTCCACTTTTTATTTGTTTTTTGGCATAAAATAATGTTTTTATCTATGTGAATTCAGGTATTACTATAGATGTGGAGTTTGGAAAGCCTGGTAATGTTCATTTTTCAAGATACTATTTCTATTAAGCTGTGCTAGTGACTGTAATGCAGCCTTGAGATCAAGAGTTTGTCAAATTCAGGTTCAGTGCCAGACACTCAACAGCAGGTGGTCTTACCATAAGAGCTCATAGAGATGTGTATTACAGAAGCAACTTGACAGAATTCTGGCTGAATACCTCAATACTGCAGGAGGGGAAATTAAAAGGAAATCAAATAAGAAAGCGATTTATTTGTATTTTTAAAGTTCTCGCAAAAAAAAATAGAATCACTGAAGCCTTTTTTGGAAAGGATCTATTTTCTGATTTATTTTACACGTAAGATATTGTTAGGTATTGAGTATATTTTGGATGTGCAGGCTAGTTGTTTTATGTCCCTTCCTCAAGTGAAAGAGCTGTTCTAACATTACCAGTGTTATCTTATAGGCTAGATGGTGTGTTAGTAGAGTGGAGAATGAGAGAATGAGTGGAGACCCCTGATCTCTGATGATTTGTTGAGGCTAGAATTTTCCGATTGTGACCAGCAGAGCTCATGTGACCAAAACTGTACTTAAAAGGACAGATTGCAAAGAAGAAGAGATGTAGCAGGGCCAAGACTAGTCCAACACATAGTAGGTTAAATTTGGAGAAAATCATCAACACTTAGATTCCTCAACAACAAACCAACACCGGCAGGTGTTGAGCACTAGGCACAAAAGGGACTCAAATTTAAGGTAAGGAATTATGTTTTTCACATTTTTAATCTTCCTTTTAAATGTGCCTTGTGATTTATGTTGTATGTGGATGTATTTTATTGGGACTCATGATTGGGTCCTTTTACCAGCAGTTTAGGGTGTGGGCTTAACGATGGAGGATTTTTACGTTATAAAAATAGTCCTAGTTCCAGATAAAGATCTGTGTCAACTTCAGAGAGTATCAGAGTTCGTCGCTATGAGTGACTGTGTGGAAGGTTGGATTTGGTGTTGTGGACTCATAGTTTGTTCACATGTAATGACAACTCCAAGAATTAAACACATTTTGGAATGTTCACCGAGAGTTAGGTGGGGGAAGATTTTTCTTAAGTCTCTCGGCTGAGGCCCCACGCCCTGGCTGGGACACCAAACTACCAATGCAGTTGAAGGAAAAGAAAAATAACTGAAGGAGGTGGTAGCAAATAGTGTATTTGAAAAGAAAGGAAACTGTTAAGATAAGATTGATATGCATGTAGTCAGGAGTTCTTGAGAAAAAGAAAGAGAGAAGGGGAAGAAGGAGTCAGGGGCTGAAACCATGCCAGGTGAGAACACAAGGCATTTGTGGGGGTTCAGGGTGAGGTGGGTAGGATGCCTGATGTTTAGCAAGGGACAGAAAAGAGGAATGAGTGGGATAGCCCAACCCCGTGCCAGGTGGGACACCCACAGAGAAGGAGGGAAGGAAATCTGTTGCAGATCTGATTCAGCGCAGGCGCCAATTGTTCAATTGGGCCAGCAAGGGCTGTGAAAGAGGAGACACCAGAAAGAAGAGGTGGACGGGGGAAGGGGGAGAGACAATAAGACAGAAGACATTCCTGGGGCGAAGACACAGTGGGTAGGACACATTGAATACACTGAGGAAGTGATATGGGGCTAAGATGCATTTGATATCAGGAGGAAAGCTAACCCGCCAGTGAAACACGCTGGAAATGAGCGGTGTTTTATTTGAGTGGTGAAATGCCTGACAAAGAGAACACAGCAGAAAACTAGTCGTCCTTAGCTGGAGAACACCTGGTTCCAATGAGTTCCTCACCAGACATAAAGATCTAGAAAGCCACAGGAAAATAGTGGGGGGAGGTTTGAGAAGATGACAGCCAAGCGCATTTAGGAAGGCTTCAATCAGAGCACCGCAAGCCAGCATGCTTGCAGTTTATGCATCAAGCAAATGAAAAAATGAAGAAAGGGTTACTAAAGGTACTGTATCCATTGCAAGACAATAAGATTAGTTACAAGCTAAGGAATTCCAACCCTTATCTACATGGCACTCATGTCTGTCCCAGTCAAAACTGGTTGGTCTGGTGTCTAATCACAAGTCTTCAACTTGAACTGGTGATGTCTGCATCACAAACCTCATTTCCAGTGAATGTCTATGCTGGTAGGGAGCTCCTAGGTTTTTACAATTTAATTTTGACGCATTCATATTCAGAAGTACCCATTTTCTTTGAATGTGACGTGAATGCTTCTTTAAATATTTTATTCAGGTTAAAACCATTCTGAGGTGTAATTAAGCCTAGTGAAGTCATGATTAAGTACATTTAAGCCCAGAGAGGTAAAGAAAAGGGAAATATAAAATTTGTATAGCTATGTCAAAGCAAAAATACCACACAAATAAACTGTTACATTTTCATTAAAGTTTTATGTGATTTTCTTCAGAAGCAGCAGAATGAACAAAGGTTAATATAAATTATAATTGCAACTTGATATGATATAAAAGGGAATCCAACCAACAAAAACAAAAAACCTCTGCTGAGTCTGTCATGCCAAAGACAATCTTGGAACAAATGTTCTGCAATACTACTGAGAACAGAACATGCCACCAACACTGTGTTACATTCGGCAAAGAAACAACACTGGTCAGATACTTTGTAATATTGTGTAGGAAAACCGCTTAAGGATGCCAAAACCAAAAAGCTTGTATGAACCGGAAAGAGCTGGTATTTTTGGGAATTGTGTTACAGTCTTCAAAATAAGCACTGCATTGATCACTGCATGATTATTACAACAGGTAGGTTGTGTCCCAATGATAGCAGTCGGGCCCACACAAGTTGTCTTTTCGAAACTGTTGGCCTTATGAGCAGCACTCATTTTTGTCTAAATGATCATTTATAACGACTAGCACGGTGGCGCAGGGAGCTCTGACCCTGGGTTCAGTTCCGAGCCTGGAGCACTACCTGTGTGGAGCATGCTCCCTAGGGTGTCCTCTGGGTGTCTTCAGGGGAAGCCAGCCCTGGTGTGAGTGCTTTTCTGTCTGTTGTCCCGTGATGCATTGGTGATGGACCCCCCAGAATCTGAACCGGAAGAAGCAGCTAGAAAGCAGATAGATATAAAGTTTAATGTTTCATTACCAGTATCCTGCAGGTTTGCATAATTAGACATATTTTTTTATCTACTGTTCCAGTATAATTGTTTTTTACTTTTAAGTTATTATACTAATATATGAAAAAAATGCATGAGTACACTTAGATATCATGCAACTGAGCATTTCTCAGCCAGAGTGAGTGAAGTGTATGTTTTTATTTATTATATTCCAGCTATCACCCAGACCCAGCTCTGCAAGTACAACTCATTCATGCAGTCCATGTTCTAATCATGTGTTATCATTGACAAAACAGAAACAATACCATGAGAACATAAACTCATGTAAAGGCTCTGCAAGGTTTAGAGGAAACACATGGGTCAGAATCTGAAATTGAAATACAATTATGTTGTGTATAATTAGTATACATTGAACATCTGGTCTGATTTTTGCTTCATCATGGTCTCTATCTTATCTTCACTCTGTTTCCCCTGAACACAACTGCTGTTTTGTACTTGAATTCCTAAGCTGCGATGAATGTTATTTTTGTTTAAAAAAATTAAGCAGTTTTTTATGCTACTAGGCTTAAAGTCCGAGTCTGCTGGTGTTAAACCTCTCCTTATCTGAGTCGTTTCCCCCATGGTAATTGAAAATGGCAGAACGCCAGTAAGAGTTACAGAGAACTAAGATTCAGAAAGAAAGGGCAGGCATTATTCAACGAGGAACATCTGTAGCAGCGCAGCTCTCATACAGCAGTATTTCAGATCACATTTGCACAACAATGTTCACAACAGATCAATGAGAAGTGAAAACCATCCTGCAAGAGGCTCCTGATCCATTTATTCAAATTCTGGTAGGTGTAAAGTTTTATGCTCTGCATAAGACAGAACTGTGCTAAGACTAACTATAACTTCCAAGTTTGTGTCAGGTTTAGTTGTATTGCATATCTCAATATAATATTTCAGAATTTGAGCTTTGATAAATAAAAGTAAATAAAGAAAAGCCAAATGTATTATACTGTAGATTTACAAAGTTTATGACTTACCATTATATGTTATACAGTAACAGTAAAGAAGATTGTAGAATTGTGAAGAGCTGTAGATTAGTTGTGCATAATACTAATTTGATATGTACTGCAGTTATTTACAATATTTTAAAATGCAGCTATAACATTTTTATATGACTAAAAAGAAGTGTATTGCATATACAGGTATTTGTGTTCCTCCTGCCTCTGTTCGTTAAACTCATATTTTAAAAGTGGAAAGGATTTCTCCGGTACATTATTTTTTTTTTTTTCAAATCATAGAGGAAATGTAAAATGGGAATTCCTGCAGAATCCAGAGCATATTGAAGAAATTAGGAACGGTTTTCAGATCCTTGTTTGTGTGAATGCTGCTTCCATGAAATGAATGGAAATACTGTTGTGTGTCAGTGCACTGGCATTGAGAATGAAGAAGACTTTTCTTCCCTTGTCCATTTTTTATATAGAAATCAAAATGTTTATAAACTTCATAATTTTAAGTCAGCATGAATATTTTCAACTGCCTTCTTGTTTTAAAGCTGAAAGCAATGTTCATATTTTACTGAACTGGGTTGCTGAAAATTATCTTCTGCTGCAGTTCTGAAATAATTAACTTTGAGGTGATTTGCCAGTATATGTTCAGCTGGATGCTGTAGTCTTGTGTCTTTTGTTCCAGTTCTCTGAATACACATTGCATTCCCCCTTTTCAAGAAAAGTATATGCACTGCTATATCATCCATTTGTGGTTTTGATTATTTAAATAAAATTCAATGGGGGACTGATATAATGTTTTGGCCTTCTTTCTGGTGCCTCAGGAACTTGGCTGTAATTAATTTTCCCATCATCTTGGCAAACTAATTGAACATGCCTAAACAGCAGTTGTTGATTTATGGATGGAATAACTTCTTTTTCAGTGCACAAGAAAATTTAAAGCAGCAATATCAAATGTACTGAGCTTTGCCTTGGGATGGCTGACAAAGTCTGAAGTGAAGCAAAGTGTCTGATATCTCCCCCATAGAAGCCCAGGTCCCCAACTAAGTGCACTAACAAAAAAGACAGAACCTCCAACAAAATCTGCAACATGCTCAAGGTTTCGTTTCTGCACCAGATAGATATGGGACAGTTCTCTTGTTGCAGTGGCTGAATTTAATTTCTTGTGCAGAGATTCAAGAAAAGCCACAGCATGCTCATTACCAATTCAAATATCAATCTCGGCTATGGATTGTATTCATCCCGATATTGACATTGAATTCCCTGAAGTCGAGGGCAAGGATGTAACCTTTTGAAAATCAAGAATTAAAGTGAATCGACAATACTAACAGAGTACCTGGTGTCTACTCAATAAATTTGAAATCTTCAAGGCTGTGCATAGAGCCCATCTGCTGTAACCGTTGTCACAAAAGCAACTTATTGACTCAATACTTTTCACTACATGAAAGTAGTTAGAAAACCCCTCTGATCACAACATTCCAAAATTGAAAATTGACACTGCAATGATAAATAACTCATTAATCAAGGCTTCTAATGCCTAATACTAGTGTATTAGCTGAATTTCAGGAATTTTGCTTTCATGTTCATGGTAGGACTGAAGTGATAGATTATGTTGAATTTTAAGACCTATGGGTCTTCTGGAAAATGTGCAAAGCAGTGCATACCACTCACAGGAAAATAATTCTTATTCTCTTCATCTTGACATACAGAGACCTATAAAGAGGCTGCAGTGACCTCATAACTTCAGAGGTCAATGTGTAGGTCTCAGTGAGGGCGCTTGCCATATGGAAAGAAAGAGACATGATGTGAAATGCCCTTTTGCTATGAAGGCTTGATTTGCAACCTAGCTGTCTTTGAACACAGCTACACGCTTTAACTTGCTATACTTAAGATGTTATGGGATTGTGTACCGTTTTAATGCAAACAATACCAAATACTGAGTCTGAATCTGCTATTATAGGCTTTGTGGGTAATGCTACAGCACTGTCATGTGTGCATGTGTTTGATAGAGTTCCAGCTTGACATTTCACTGTCTGCCTGTGCAAATGGATTCCATGTGGAATCAAGTAGGGCAGGAATATCCATCTAGGGAAGACTGAAGGAGAGCCACAGTGGGTGCCTCTGCAGATGTGGTGTTTTCCAGTTACCTCCCAGCCTCAGTCCAAGAAACTGTTAGAGCAGAGCCAGCTTTGTAACGGCAGTCAAGCATCGCATAACTCTTCACATACAGTACAACCTGAGGTCACAGTGTGGAAAAACACAATCACCGCATGGCAAAGGCACCAGACTACAAGGAGAACTGAATTTACATCTTTGCACAAACATACCCTTGGCCATTGTGGAAACTTCACTTAATGCTAGTGCAGAATCTACAGAAGCTGAAAGGAGTAACACAATTCTTTCTTGCACAGGCTTTAGTTAAACTTTTTGTTTCCCTTTTGTTTTTCATTGTTGTTAAGTTTGCAGTTTCTTGGTTTCACTCTTTAGAAATATATAATACGAATATGTACTGATTTCTAAATCTGCCAAAGATTGAGAAAGTATACAAATGTCAAGGATGAAAAAAATGTCTGGAAATGATTACAGGCAGTTTCATGATAGCAGACACTCACCAGACAATAGGCAAAGGGATTATGTCTGCATGGATCCTTCTCCAATTAAAACAACAAGAAAATATTGAAACACATTCTTTTTTCAAAGTATGCATTAAAGCATTATTTTTCAATTTAAAATGATTCACTGCAGTTTTGTCAGCATGCTTTAAATGAAAAAAGGCAGAAAGTCAGAAATAAGACTTTTAAAACCTAATAAGACATTAAGGTACAACAACTGATTATTTGTGAAACAAATGAATGTCTACTGTGACGATGGTTTAATGTTCAGAGTCATGTTGATGTAATTACAGTGAAAAATGCTGTACACATTCATTTGCACTGCTCTTTGCATGTCATAGTGTGTCTTGGAACTCAGTCCTATTATTACATTTCCTGCTTATATGAAATCTAATTAGATGGTGATAGCAAAGATGTTATACATGAATATACTGTAACTTCCCCTCACATATTTCATTTCAGATTGCAACATGTGCACATTGTTGTATAATAATGTTGCAAACCAAATGACTCAAATGTAAAGATCTGCACTGGTTAAACTATGAGCAAGTGGGCTTTGTCTTGGAATGGATTTATTTTGCAATGTTTGAATTTTTTGCTTTTTATTTTTTTGTTTTTCTTCAGGTAAAGGAGTGCAGAACTGTTGGACATGTGCAGTATGGCTCACAAAACAAAGCTCTTGAAATTAATCTTACAGTCATTGCCAGTTATGCTACTTCACAGCTTTTGCACAGCACAAGATGAAGATCGGAGATATAGTAAGAAATTTATTTATTAAGATAATGTGCTTCTACAGCATACTTGGCATGTTTTGGGCTGTACAGTCAAAAAGATGCACTTGGCTTATTTATTTGTTTTGTACACTGAGCTTTACATAATTTTTTAACAAAAATGTTCTTTAAACCTTCATTTCAGTGATATACAGTACCGTACATTTGTTAGGTGAGTGAAGAACCTGTAGCTAAGTCCATAAAGTTGCCTTTTTCTGACCTTTTTCTGCATTGAAATGAAAGAGTTGAGTTGAGTAAAGTCCATTTTCATTGTACACAGTATGACTCCACTTTGTTTTCTTCTTGCTTTCAGGTTGCAGAACAGCTCCTAGTGATCTAGTGTTTATTTTAGATGGCTCTTGGAGTGTGGAAGACAAAAACTTTGCCATAGTCAAAAAATGGCTTGTGAACATCACTACCAACTTCAATATCGGCCAGAGGTTTACCCAGGTGGGGGTAATCCAGTACAGTGATGACCCTGTGTTGCAGATTCCTCTGGGAACATATTTGTCAAGCACAGAACTAATTGAGGCCATGGAGTCAATAGAGTACATGGGAGGAAACACCAGGACAGGAATCGCCATCAAGTTTGCCATTGATAATTTGTTTGCTCACTCTGAACGAGGGCCCAACGGCGTAGCAAAGATAGCTGTGGTCCTCACTGATGGAAAATCCCAGGATGAAGTGAAACTGGCGGCAGAGGAAGCAAGGAAAAAGGGAATCATCTTGTTTGCCATTGGTGTCGGATCCGAAACGGAGGAAGAGGAGCTAAGGGCTATTGCCAACAAGCCTTCTTCCACTTATGTGTTTTATGTTGAAGACTACATAGCAATTACTAAAATCCGTGAAGTGATAAGACAGAAGCTCTGTGAAGGTACTTCAGCTTTAAATATACATACAAATTCCATGCTTTCTTTCCATTCTCATTTTCTGGAAAATTCTAGGAGTTTCTTTGGAAACCATCATCTTTATACGCCTATACACATCTTTATCATAATGAGTGCCAGATGCTGACAACTGCAGTGTGGAGTAGGGTTAGGGCTCTGGGCTGCAGATCCCAGGTGAGAAGCTTTGCCCAGGTTGCTTCAGTTAATGGGGCTCCAGGTTGCCATTGCAAATGAAAATGTATTCTCAGTTGATTTATCTAATTCAATAATACTCTTTTATATGGTGCCTTTCAAGATATCATACAAGGTGCTTTAAAATAAAACAAAGCAAAAGCATACTCATTTTCAAATGCATGAATACACAATAATTTAATACACTGCGTTAAACAAAATAAACAGCTTATTCATAATTGTAAAGTTTAAGAGAATTTTAAAATGTTGACTGACTTGCAAGATCTAACTTGGGCTGGGAAGTGATACCACCGGCTTGGAGAAACAGGACAGAAAGCAATCTCCTTGGTTTTGGGATCTGAAGAAAGACCACAGTCCCAAAAGGTGGAACAATGTTTAGGAGCATAGCGAGTTAACAGTTCACTGATACAGTCAGGAGCCAAACCTTTCAAGGCCTTAAAAGTAAGCAGCAGTGATTAATATTGAAATTGATTCAGGCTCCGAGCTAGGAGTAGTTGCTGTTTATGTCTTTGGATTCCCTATTGGTCCCAGGCTGGACTCGTATAATCCCTGTGTTCACTAATTTCATTTGCAGCTGAGTTTGTGGCTACTTAATTGGACCCTGAGCAAACTAACAATGTGATAAGCTTGACCTTTTTACACTGTTCTCAAACTATGGAATATTTATGTAAAATCAGCAATGCCATTAAACTAAATATTCACAACTCAAAAAACACACGAACCATTAAAATGTTTACCTCAATTAAGGATCCTATTACTTAATTGAGATCTCAAATGAATGACAACTGGAGTCACAGAGTCCAGCACTGGAATGACCTGATCTACCTGCTTAGTGAGGATGGCTTTTGTAGTTCTTGCACCATGGCATTCAGGTTTTTGGCATCACCACATTAATTCCTTACGGTTGCCATCACTGCTATCTTGTGATGCAGTAAAATGTCAAATGTCCATCTGGCTGAAGATCAGGTAGTTACATAAAATGATGAGTTATGGCTATTTTCACCAGCGTAAGTAAATGACACACTATTCCCTGATTTAAATATACATTTTATATTTAATAAAATATCTAAAATCCATGGGCAGCATGGTGGTGCAGTAGTTAGTATTGCTGTATTGCAGGGCTCGGGCCCGGGGTTGAATTATTATTATCTGGGTTCTCCCCACATTCACTTGGGTTTCCTCTGGAGGCTTGTTTTTCCCCCACAGTCCAAAGCTCTTGGAAAACTGGGCC